CCGACTGCTTTGTGTAATTCAGGCCGAATGGCGTTATTTGTTTCACCTTTAGACACGCGCTGCCAGGGATGTTTCTTTTGTGCCTGAGCATGTTTCCTTAACTACGGATCATTTGGAGATGCGAGTAGTGTTGTGCACTAACCTTGCCGAGGTATCTCAAACACTCAGAACAAGTCTGCCACGGTGGGGTGTGCATTCATTGGTTTGGGTCAAACAGTTTATCCATGATATTTTGACCATGGGACATACACTACTGCATACTAAAATGGAAGGAGCGAGAGCAGAGCCTCATAACATAGCTGGTGTCCCAGCAGTTGCTGCATTTGTCTGGTTATTATAAGTCCTGTATGGAGAGAGACACATCCCCAGAGATTTATAGCCACCGAATCAGAAATGAATGCAGTTACTCAGACCATTTTTATTAATGACCCCACAGCAGCAGATTATTGAAATGCACAGCTGATGCACAGGGGCACAAAGCTAACTACTTGCCGCTTAGCCTGCCTGTGCCATTAGTTATTCTAAATGTCATGATCATTAAGGAGTCCATAAAACATTTATGGTGATATAAGCACCGGGTTTCTGTAAGATGGTGTTGTCTTCACTTAAATTTTATAAGGGCATTTGTTTGAGTATCTTTCAAATGAGTGTGTATATGTGTGACTGTTTTGGACTACTACTATGAATAAGAGGAGAATTGATGGTTAAATATGCCTACTGTTATATGCTGGTAGTTGTGGGGCAAGGGTTAGAATTGTAGTAAACCAGTTTAGAGGACAGTACCCTGCTATTCAGTGCACACATTGCAAAACCGACTGTGGACAACGTTGTATCAAAACACCCATCCCAAAAAATCCTATCAAAACGGATTCGTTTGTCAGCAGTTCATTAGAAGCCCCACCCTCCACATGACTCACTTAAAATCAAACACTTCTGGTGTGACTAGGTCAGTCCAGCCGTGATTCAGATTCAGGCAATAGCCAGCCACGAACAGTGATGCGTCCGTTGGCATGATTTTAAGCAACCCGTAATCGTGGAGAGTCCTATTTTATTCAGTCAGCTGTGGGGAATGTCAGTGACACGTTTCAGCCATTCTCACCTCTATTTAAAAGCTGTGATGATGACACGGTCCTCCGAGCGTCGAAACAATAGAGCAGTTCAAGCTGTCGACAGGGTTATGTCGAGCTCCTGGCAGCCATGCGATGGACGTCTACCTCCAGGAAAGATCCTTCACTACCCTGCTTTCAAGCGCAGGCAATGTCGCAGGGGATGGGTGGGTGAGGCTGAGAGATGAACACTGATGCTTCTGGGGTGAATAAATAGTGGTGAAGTGCTAAAAAACAAAAGACACATTTATAGGAAGCATTCAGCCAGCTGCCATGTTTCACCTTCTGCTCAGAACCATCATCCAAAGGTTTGCCAGTGCAGGGACCTTGCTGCTAAGAAGAGTAATTAATGCTATTTATTCCCATCTGTGTTGTACCCGGCCATGCACCTCGTAGGATAGTCTCCAGGATCGCCACAAGCCGTTGAAAACAGATGAGAGGATTTGGGAACTAATAAATATTTCTGTTAAACTGTTTTTATAACTAGGGAAGGCTGCACCACAGGGACAGAAAGTCTCGGTGCTTGTTACGCTTCTTGGTTAATGTATATTCATTAGCTGCAAGGCAGCTGGATCTCTCACACGATTGGTGGGTTTTTATGTAAATATGAGTCCTGATTGGTGTTTGTGGATGTGGCCCATCATCAGGAAGGAGGTTCTGCAGCAGCTGTCCTGAGCTGGTTGCTTTCACGGTCAGGTGCTCTGCGGTTTGCCCATGCCCCGATGCCTCTGAGTGTGCTGGTTCAGTAGCACCTTTTGCTTGTTGTACCTCTGCTGATTCCTGGCTTACTCCAGCTGCCTTAATGCCACCTGCAATTTTTCCTGGTCATTTAGATTGACTGATTTGTATGCCACCTCTCAAGGTACGTCCCCTGTCATGGAAGCGGTGGTCGCCAATGGGACGACGAGCCCACAGAGCCCTGCTGCCAGTGCCTCGGGCCCACCAGCGGTGAAGCGGCGCTTTGAGGAATGCGCTGCATTTGACAAGCGGCTGCGCATCAGCGTGCGGCAGACCAAGAGTGCCTATCGGTACCGCGACATTGTGGTGCGCAAGCAAGACGGCTTCACACACATCCTGCTCTCTACCAAGTCTTCGGAAAACAACTCGCTCAACCCAGACGTGAGTGTCCTCGAGGTTCTCGCTTCAGAACGAGGAGGCGGGAGGCCCAGCCAATCGGACTCAGCCATGTGTGGGTCGATGCTGCTGTTATTCTTCCTTTGTACTGTGTTTTATTTGGAGGCCATTTCAACTGTGTTTCATCTTCAGTAATGAGGAGTGATGCAGGCAATAAAACAGCAGCTTAGATATTTCTGGGACAGATGCGGAGGACACACAATGCCTAATTGTGTGATGACTAGTCGACTATTCATTGCAATTTAAGCTGGGTCTGGCTTTGAATGGGATTTCAGTGGGTGTTCTTTAATGATTTTATATAAGTTGTTGCAAGGTAATGCAAAACGACAGTATGGAAAGGGCCATCATAGTTTGATGATGGTATATCCGACCCCCTTTTGTGCGTGGTTGGCAAACGTCATGAATGGAGTGGGGAAAATATTAGTATCCAAAATAAAGCGTATTGGGTCTTGTGACATTTAAGTTTACTTTGGGAGCGACACTCTAAGCGTGAGATGTATGTGATATTCAGGCATCACCTTTGGCTGGAATGGTGGGGGGTGTAGCATAGCTTTTAAATAGCTGCTATAAAAAATGTTAAAGATCGAAACAGTTGAGCAGAATTACCTTGGTATGCAACTCTGTGTCAACTCCCTGCCCATATAAGCCCCCTGACAGCTAAGTAGCCTGTGTAATTTACCAAGTGTGTTTTGCAGGATGTACGCTAATGCATATGTTAAATTATCCAAAGTAAGCAGTCACATTACTGACTCTTACTACTAAATCAGTTTCAAGCAGCACAAGTGACCAGATTAGTCTTTCCCTATTCATATCTGACCCACCAACCCAGTTTACACCACAGTGACTAGAATAACTTGTTCTGTTGCTAATAAGGTATTGTGGTGTCGTCTTCTCCCGCCCTAGTCATTTTAATGCCTACAAAAACAATTAACATTAAAAGAATTAAAAGTAATTTACTATGAATGCATTATTATTTGTAGAGATGCAATATCGGATCGGTATTAGCGCCGATCCAGACCTATTTGACGAATCGGGTATCAGCCATGCGTGACCGTTCCACGTCCTATACTTACTTATTTAGTTTTTGGCAATCTCTAAAAAGACAGCTCCTATTTCGTGTTAAATCTATTTGTACAATCAGTCGCACGACAGCTTTTTCCCATTTTACATGTGTTTTTTGCGGCATTCAAATCGAACGCTAACGCTGCCCCTCAGTCTTTTTTGCTACTCAGTGGGCGTGAGTACAGTGACTTCCACCTGATGTAACGTCATGTGCATACCATTCGTAGTACGAGGAGCATAAGATAAGACGTGACGATCTGGGAGTATTTTACGCTTTTAACAGAGATCAGTAGCACAGTGACTTGCAGTCTTTGAAAAATAAAGTTTTGAGAGGTGGGAATACCGTTTAATGGACACTCCCACTTAACAATGCGCATGCAACTGTGCGAGACAAAAAAAAGCAATGTATGATTTGGAAGTTGCTAACCTGGACTGTCTTACAAACTCGCTGCAGCTTGTGATACAAGAGGGGCTGCCATTGCAACAAAGTGTAGAGAAATGGGAGAAAAATTAAAATTTTAAACATTCACCACTTGTGTATACTTGTTTTGAAGATATTCATATTGAACTGCAAATGCCTCAAAAACGCTTAAAACAAGATGTACAAACGAGGTGAAACAGTACATTATGTATGTTTGTAGTATCCTAATTAAATATTTTTCCATCTGTATTTACTAGCTTAAAAAAATTATATATAAAGTATAACAGATAAAAAGAGCTCTTGTATCGGAATCTGTATTGGTATCGGCAGTTGTGTATCGGAATCGGATCGGAACTGAAAAAATGTGGATCGGCCCATCCCTAATTATTTGCCCGTAAATTGTGAAATCCTACGAGCCAAGTGTGGTTAGATGAATTTGTGTTTAACTTGAGATGTGTGTCTTGCTATGGAACAGTGTCCTGTCTAGGGTGTTCTATAACCCAAGACTCTATGCTGCATGGGCTCCAGACCCAGATCCCCCCTCAGATTTGGAGATGGGTGGGTGTGTGGGTTGACTGAAATTCTATTGAAACTTTCAAATGGATATGACCGATGTTTGCTCAGGTGATGAAGGAAGTGCAGAATGCCATGACGACGGCGGCAGCAGACGACAGCAAGTTGGTCCTGCTGGGCGCAGTGGGTAGTGTCTTCTGCTGTGGTCTGGACTTCATCTCGTTCATCCGCCGGCTGACAGATGATAGGAAGAAGGAGAGCGTCAAAATGGCTGACTCCATCAGGTGAAGGAACGCCGAGATGCTTCTCGTATCACGAGGGTCATATGCGAAAACAAAATCATACAAAAGCTAAGAATGTCGGTTTTCTTGTTTGTTCTTTGAATAATTTTATATGTGTAATTGAACTAACCTGATAGAAAGCCAAAAATGCCATCAAAAAGTTAGCAATCAAATGTTTATTGATCAAATGTTCTGCCAAGAATCCATTTTATTACAGAGAGCAGGCGTGAATCCTACATGTACCTTTTAGGTATACGGCTGAAAAATGTAATCTTTGTGAAAATCGACAGAGGATGCCGTTCCGTGTTGGTTGCATGTTGGTTGAGTGTGGCACAGGGTCACGCCAAACTGCAATCAGCAAGATGTGGCTTCTTGGAGCTCCATCCCAACGCTGGCTGCATGTATGATATGTTAACAATGAGAGCAACTGCATGAACTTTTCTGGCCCACTGAGCGAGAATACTTAGGGAATGCAGAATGAGAGGAAAGCGACGCTTCCTGTTTGGTCTGTTGTATCAAAGAGACGTTCAACTCAGCCGACAGTGAATCGGGCGACTGATAATCAAGCTTCATAATCAAAGAGCTGTAGGGTGCCTGGATCGCTTCACTGTATCATCTTAACCAGAATTTGACGACTGAAAACGTACATGGACAGAGTAAATTACAGAACTTGTACCTCATACCCATTTCTGTATATAACGGAGGATCTGTCATCACTGTAAATCTGCTCCATGTAGATGCCTGCTGGATTTCCAGTTGGTGCTTACGCATCAGAGAGAACATAATCCCTTAACCCCGCCCCCCCACAGCAGTCAGATTATGGTGCTGTGGGACTCAGACCCGGGTCTGTATGACTCAGCCCTCTCTTTCCTGGCCACTATGAGCACTGAATTTGTTTTCCAGCTTCACTGTGAGTAACTCGACCTGTGGAGATCCTTTCTCTGTAGACTTATTGCCTCTTGTCCTTGCTTTCCTGGCACTGTTATTCCAACTTATTTGTTCAGCTGTTTCCTTTTTTATTGTTGCTCTGCCTGTGGGTTGGAGGTAAAGAGAGAGTGTACCAAGTTTCTGAAAGTCACACTGTTAACGAAAAATAACGGGAGAGGTTTTATTAGGGCCTGTAATACTGCCAACTTCAAAACCACGACTTAACTCAATTTGTCAAAGGTTCTTTCTCAGCGCTGTGGGCGGGCAGATAGGTTCAGGGAGAATCATATAGTACCACTGGTTAAATTTGAGGCTGTAATGCTATGTGCAAGATGCATAACTGTAGCCATTGAAGTCTGTTTTTCTAAAACCCCAGACCCCAGACAGTCCACATTTTTGCTCCTTCCCAGCTCCCAGCATGCCTGTACCAGGTATTTGGTATTTTTGATTGGTTGGTTCAGGTGTGCTAGGAAGGAGCAAAAGTGGGGACTGCCCGGTGATCCCCGAGGACTGGCTTGAGCCAAACTGGGTTAAGGGGTTAAGAGAATATTATAAGCAGTTAAATCTTGTCAGCTTAGCCGGTTATTTGGAATTCAAAACTGCATGGCTGCAGTGTTGTAGGGTGTTGGCATTTTTAGATCCCCCAGACCCCCACCTCTTTTGTGATTGTCATTGAGGATGACCATCCCCCTCCGCTTCATCCAGGACCTTCGTGAACACCTTCATCCAGTTCAAGAAGCCCATTGTGGTGGCGGTGAACGGCCCCGCCGTGGGCCTGGGCGCCGCCATTCTGCCGCTGTGCGACGTCATCTGGGCCACCGAGAAGGCCTGGTTCCAGACACCGTACGCAGCCTTCGGCCAGACACCCGACGCCTGTTCCTCCTTCACCTTCCCCCGCGTCATGGGGGTGGCATCTGTGAGTCGTCTTGGAAACGTATCTGGAGTTTTTTTTAAAAAAGAAAAGAAAATGCGTAAATACAGCTTGAGTCAAATTTGAAGCCAGTGCATCTGATGATGCGCCATTTTTATCGTTAAACTGTCAACGAAGCATCTAACAAAGCTGTAGGTTAAAAATCCTCAGTACCATAAAGCATGCTAATTGTACATGAAAATTTCTAATTACTGGGATAAATATCTGTGTGGGGGCGATGCTTCAGTGATATCAGCAGTAATGATTCAGCATTCAGGCCCAGGAATATGTAGGTATATTTTAATGTTTGTATGCAATATTTACATTTAAATATGAGATGGATTTGCTGTTAATTATTAGGTGCAAATACCATTTTCAGAAATGACATTTAAAAGAATTCAAACAGGATGCAGTTCACTAAAGGAATACATTTTAATGTTTGCCTTTCTGAAACTGGTAACTCCAACCTGTGGTCATGATTGTACAGATGTCGGCTATTTAAATATGTAACACAGCAAATATCAGATTGGACAGACTGAAATACCGTCCCTGTCAGAACAGCTTTGATTTTATTAATGGCATGAACTCAGGGGTGATGTAACTTAGAAGTAATGGGAAATAATGGTAGGAATTGTTAAACCCCATATTTAAAGAGGACTAGTGGGCTGCCGCTAAACTGAAAAAAGACACTGAGACACGTTGTGTCTTCTGACTGTAGGTGGCAGCAGTGCTCCACTCACCATAGACGAGAGCCTTGGTCTGGCTGCTCACTGGTCATCTCAGACTGAGCAGATATTCAGAGCGTGTTGGGCCTCATGCTGTGAACCCAGGACTCCCATCCACGTCTGCGTGGTGATGGCTATTAGATGGCCGCCAGCTGCATATAGGTGTGGTTATAGGTTAGGCTAGGGATAATAATTAACAAGGGCACACCGCCCTTTGTCCTGCTTGTCTCAGATTTAGGCCGACTGCCGTCAGCTCTGATGGGCTGTTCAGAGCCAGGCAGCACTCAGCTACAGCCTCCTGCTGTTTTTAAGCCTCCCCTTGAACCTCTTCATCTCCTAACTGGGGGTGATGTATGGCTTAGTGGGTTAGGACGCTGTGCCTGTGATTGGAAAGCCCCTGGGTCAAACCACACAGTCTGCAGAGAGATCTCAGCGTCGGGCCCACGACGGAAGGCCTTAACCTTAGTGCCAGGGACTTGCTGGCCCTGCTTTCTCAACTGCACATTGCTTTGGATAAAAGCGTCTTGCTAAATAAAATGTAAGAGTCATTCTTTAAGACTCATACCTCAGGTTTATTAGGATGGGACACTGCAGGCTCACTCAGTGGACCTGCTGTGCCCAGGTGTCCCTCCCCCGGCTGAAATTTCCTGTCCGATTTAAAAAAAAAAAAAAAAAAAAAAAAAAAAAAGAATGGTATTGCAGTAGACCAAGAAATAGCAGTGTAGTGTGAGCAGGAGAACAATCTTCTGAGTGTTACCCCTCCCCCCCCACAGGCAAACGAGATGCTGCTGAGTGGCCGCAAGCTGACAGCCCAGGAGGCCTGCGCCAAGGGCCTGGTCTCCCAGGTCTTCTGGCCTGGTACCTTCGCTCAGGAGGTGATGGTGCGCGTTAGGGAGCTAGTCTCTTGTCATTCGGTCGTAAGTCATCCTTTGATTTTGCTTGGTTTGGGGGGGGGGTATCTCCCCTTCTTTCTCCTCACCATACCCTCAGACACCTCCCCCTTCCTGTGGGTGTCGCCTTCACTTCATTCTGTCGCTCTTTTTCACACCGATCAGTCATCTGCTCCCAGCACACACCAGGGTCTTTGTATGTGTGGGATGTTTACTTATGTGCAGGAGGAAAGGAAATAATCTCCTAATGAACCAAAAAACATTTATTTACATTTGTTTACATTTATTTACCAAAGACATTTTCTGAACACCTGGAAAATGAATGTGTGCTGGGAATGAGGCTTGGGGCTGCATTCTGAGTGTTTGTCCCTTACACTGATTCTCATGAATGGCCACAGTAGTGGAAATGTTGTGTGTTTGCCGTCCCCGGCTTGATTGACACATTTCCTGAACGCATACTCATATGCTTCAGTTTTCTTTGTTTCTACACACTCATTCATTGTCATAAACCAGCTTTTTTTTTTTTTCCCCCTTCCACCGCGCGTTCACCTGGGACGCGGGCGCCGGCGGCTCTTAGGTGTTGCGGGAGTCCAAAGCCTTGCTGCGTGGCACCAGCAGGGCGGCGCTAGAGCAGGCCAACGAGCGGGAGTGCGAGGCACTGAAGCGGGTGTGGGGCTCGCCCCAGGGCATGGACTCCATCCTGAACTACCTGCAGAAGAAGATCGATGGATTCTGAGAGCTGACCTTTGCTTCCCTTCCCCACTTCTGACGAGGGGAGCGACGTCGCTCCCAGGTGGTGACCCATGCATCTGAAAGCCTGTCTGACCGGAGTTGACTAGGGGAGAAATGTTTGCCTTAGGGAGTCTTGCCAGATACCTGGACAGCATGTGATGCTCACCTCTGTTCCTCTCGGCGTTCTTTGTGAAGATGTGCTACGTTGGAGCTGTTTGTTCCCCATTGCCTGCTTGGTTGTGACTAGGAAGGGAACTAAACTTTTTAAGTCTTTCATGATGCAGCAGCCTTTATTTGACAACTCTAACATGCATAAATATTCATCCTAAAGTTAGATGACAGAACTTGTCATGGAAAACCGCCATTTGAAATTACCTTTTAAATTTATTATTATTATTATTATTATTGTTGTTGTTATTTTTTTAAAGTCTTGCAGATACATTACTTCAGCAATGACAAGACTAGCAGGATCATAGATTGTACCTAAGGGTAGCTTAGGTTGACTTTAAAATATATGGCTATGTATATAGCATTAAGAATATATACCTATATATTTATGTCTTATGTCTGTATCACCATTGCTGGGTGAAAGTGAATTTACAGAAAACGTGTATGCTTCAGGTCTCCTTCATTGCCTACTTCAGGTAATTGTTACACCAAATGTTTTCTATTGTTGCTTCTGTTTGGTCAATTTCGAATAGATGCATTAAGGGAAAATTCAAGGGGAACTCGCTTTCTGAAAGATTTAGTATGGTTTTCCATCTGTTAACTGTTAACTGCAGCTATATTTTGTCAAACGGCAATTTTCAGAGTAAAACATTGATTGTAATCAGGGGTATTATCCTACTTCTTGTTGTTTTAGGAAATCCAAATCAATGTTCAGCAAAACTTTCTGTGATTTTTCAGGCCTATCTGCTAGATTAGGCCATTAAGAATTGAGTCATAAGCCCAAAATGCCATCTTAGTGTACCTTTTTTTTTTTTTTTAATATAGATATTCCTCACTAGTTAAGCACCTCGTCAGATAGTAGGGTCCTTTTTCTGGGCTTTCAGAATTAAGAGTACTAAAGGTCAGAAAGGTAGGAAGCAAACGTGGTGGCTGAATTTGTTTGGCATCACTTGTGGCTAGAACCAAACTATTATAAATGACAATGTTGTTGTCTGAGCTTTTGAACTTTTGATATATCCAGCCAGATGCCAAAATGCAGACACATGAACGCAAACTAATATTACAATGAATTTTGGCTGCAGTTGATTTCATTTGATGTGGTGTAATACCTCAGCAAAGTGAGGAAAAATACACTGTAAATTATTTTTCGCACATAATGATTAAAATGGAAGTCTCTTGGTTTAAGACATTTATTCAATAGTTTGACTGAAGCCTTTGCAGTCAAACTTGATTGAATCTGATGGCAGCAGATAACAGTTCTTTGTCATGACACACGATATTTTATAGAGCTGTAGATCAGAAGCCAATGACAGGCCAGAGTCCATCTCTTCTTGGTTTAGATTCTATGCAAAAAAAAATATCATCTGAACACACCACACAAGCAGTAAAAACCATTTGTACTGACTTCCACCCAGTTCTTCCTGAACTTGTCTTTCTGAACGCTGTTTTTCTTTCATCAGTATGTGCCCTTAAATACACAAGTATGAAAAGAAGAGGATGATGTGAAATGGGGGGGGGGGGGTGATGAAGATTTATATTGGGGGTCATTTTTCTACTGTGCTGCAATGCAAATAATCCTGTGCTTTCGTAGCTTTTCATTGCTTAAACGGACAGTGAGGACCTTCCATCCCGTACTACAAAGAGAAAACTGTATCATCTTTGTGAGTAAGAATAGCTGCATCTGAACCACACTCAATGATTTCCATCTTTACTTGAAACACTGCAGTGCTCTTTCAGCGGAAAGGAAACTTGGGGAAAGCCTTTTGTTACGTTAAGTCTGCCATTCTCTGTTGGTGACCTATATCTGTTGTTCAAAACCAGTGCCTTGGGCCATGTAGTAGAAAGGTGAGAAACCTCAATCATCGTCGATGCAGGGATTCTGAGTTTCCTCATTCGCCTTCATAACTTTCTGGTGTCTTGTTTGCAGAAATGAAGCAGCCTTTGCAGTTAGAGACTTTTCATGTACTGGAAGCGGAACTGATTGTAGGTGAACAGAAATAACCTTTAAACCCATTGCTAAACGAAGAGGTTATTTTTTTTTGAGGGGGGGGTGGTGATGAAATGTACCTTATTTTTGTACATTGAATACAGATTTGACTGAATACCCTGCTTTTCTTCTCCCCCAAAAGAACCATAGAGTGTGTTGGTTTTTTTTTGAATGCTTGGTACAGTACTTTTCATCTCTGGGACCTATTTTGTTGTAGTTTATAAACTATATATAAATAATATATGTATATTGTATAATATGTAAAGTTTTTTATAGATTAAAATATTCAGCTGTGAAAAGTGGTCAAAATAAATTGTCTGATTTCGTAACACAAACTTCTTAGTGTCTTGTATTTGAGCGTGAAAACATGTCTGTTTCATTTTCCCATTGCGTTCCACCTAGTTTTGGTATTCTTTGGTAACTGGCCACACGAATTATATAAAACAAACAAGCTATTATGTTTAAATGTCACCCACTGTTAGCGTGGTCGTGATCAGTACCAAAATATTCCTGCATTGTCCCTCCGCAGAAGCCTGTGGACTCGAGCACTATTGCAGAGTAAAATGCGGGTGGTTCTGTGTTTGTAGCAGTTATAAAGGGTAACAACTTGTATGTTTTTCTACATTTTGGAAGCACGACAAGGATAGACTCAAGAATGTAAACTGCTTCCGTATGCAAATTCGGCAGCTGTGTGGCGAATTCTTCCATTTTCAGATAAAATCCTGCTACTACACTGCAGATTTCCTGTAAGCAGCAATGAGATGCAGTTGGGAAGCAGCTTGTGTTTGACACTGGAATCCACCAGCTAATCGGATAGATATGGTGCATCAAGATGAGGCCGGTGAAGTTGAATTTCTTACAAATAAGGTGGCCATGCTACTCCTAGTTGGGGATATTCATAACAATAACACTTTGCCCAAGAATTCCAGTCAGTGTCAACTGTCAACAGTTTTTACATGGTAGTGAGTTTTTAACAAAGGCACCAGTTAAACTTGTTTTCAGCTAGTGAAGATGGTACTGTCAGTATTGGAAAGGTATTCTTAAATTATTTTTACAATAATATCTTATTTTTACATCTGAGTACTGTTCCCCCTGGTGATAGAACAGTGAAATGGCATGGTCGTTTCCCGATGGTCTAAGAAAAGGAGGACAAACAGGGATGTGACTGGTGAATTGGATGGTGACTATGGTCAGGCCAATGCAGGCTGCAATGTTCGAACCAAGACGGGCAGGAGCCATAGAGCTGGTGGCCCCCTGTCATCAGGCTAGTTCTGCGTAATTGTTTGGTCTTTCTTGAGTGTAGGTCATAACGGTAGCCTGTAACTGCTAATGTTAGGTGCAGGATGCGTGGATCTCGTACATAAAACTAAAGTCCTTTGTTGTGTTGCATGATGGCCCCTGTTGGCAGTAGTGTTTACTGTCTTCAGGATTAAGTTTTCTTTTTATAGGCCATGTGCAACAGGTGCATTGGAATGCTGAGTCATTCAGCCAGACTTGGATACGATGGACTAAATAAGATACAAAGCTACAAAATTGGCTATATATGGTCAGTGGCTGATAAAGTACAGTAACACATTTCTGAAGTGCATGTGTCATAGATATGACTGGTACTGGAAATGTGTATGTTGGAAATTCGAATAGCTTAGAAAGAGAACCTGTTCCTGAATCTGGTAATCAGTGAGCAGCTTCCTTCCCCAGGCCATCTGAATCTGTCACTTTTGTCCCTGTCTGTCTGGTCGTCCTTTTTTTTTTTGTTTTGTTATTTTGTACCAGTCAATTTCAAACAGCCTGGGGGTGCATTGTAAAGACATTTGGCATGTTAGATGTTTACTCATTGAAATGTACATCATCGAGCTTTCTCGCACGAACACCCGGAGGCTCGTGGCCCGCCAGCCGCTGGTCACATGGTACCGAGTCTGACCCAAACAGATGATGGTTCTCTCAAGGTCATGTGCTACCGTCATTGGTCAAACTCCACGGCTGACATCATGAGATCAACAAATATTCATTAACACTGTATTAAGTCTTTGTTTTTTTGTGAAATAGTTGATGTTTTTGAGAACAATCCATAGCAATCAAAATAATTCTTAATTGAATGAATTCTGTCCTGTGTGTTTGTAAGGGAGACCAAAGAGAGTTGTTGAATGGGGTCAGTTATTCAAAGGGACACTATAATCTTCCTGAATAGATTAGAGTCCCCCAGGCAGCACTGATGTTTAGCAAACTAGTACAAATTTGTTTTCTTTTTCCTTTGTCATTTTTCTACATTTTAATAAACATGAAAATGTGAAAAATTCGGTAATTGTCATTTCTATGTAGAGATATTTACTGATCCTCTTTGTTTATCACATATTGCTGTTAATTATCTTGTATTTAGCAATAGTCTGAAGGATGCATGTAAGAATTTGTCTTATGTAGGGGAGACCAGGGATGAGTGTAGCACAGGATAGTTGTAACAAAATATATTTCTCAAATGAGGTATGAGGTACAAATGACACAACTCACTCTGCACATGCTCAGTTTAGCCTGTTTCATACGTGAAGAAGGATCCTCCTGTAACAAACACACTCAGATTTGTAAGCAGAAAAAAAAAATTGAGAAAGAAGTCTTGGGTTCCCTGCTTAGACTGCTACCCCCGTGACCAGACCCAGAAAAGCGGTAGAAGATGGATGGATGGATGGATAAAAAGCTATTAAAACTTGAAATGTTTTGACATGATTTTTAATGTTACATTTAACCCAGGGCTGTGTTACAACTATCACTGATCACTGGCTATTGGGTAAATTGTAACGTTTTACACCATGTGTGTGAGGCTATTCATTGTGTCTATGTAATACAGAGATAAAACCTGTGCCATTTAATAGAAGAACCGTGTAGGTAGTTTGTGTCAAGTTTTGAATGTGATTCCTTAAAAGAGTTCTGAGGTGTATTAAAAAGTGTAAAGTAAAAAAAAAAAAAACTTTAAAACTTGAAATATACAAGCATTTTAAAGTATTTTCTTGGTAGACGTCTGACCCCTTTAAAATGCGGGGGGGAAATAGGTTGTGTGTGAAAGCATCGTTTTCAGTGATTCATTAGTAACACCCCGGCAGCCAGAATGCCAAGAATGCAAACCCAAGGGTTAGTGCTTACATTTTAATGTCATAATTACCATTCCGCGTATAATGCTTTGGCTTGGTATGTGGGGGAGTGGTGAAAGCGTAATTACGTGCTGAAATACACATCAAAATTACCGCTACGAACCTCTGATTTAATTAGACGAGTTCAGCAAACACTACCCAGTTCGCAATTTGTGATGTTGTCCCGTAACGATAGAAATGTCAATGTTTCTGCATGTACACACATATTTCTTTCAATGTGAGTACACGTGAGAGTCAAATAGCAAATTTTAAACACACAAATAATCGTAGTGTGGAAAATTCAGAAATCTAATGTAGCCCGCCCAGCGTCCAAACCAACGATTCTACTTGAAGTGCACTTATACTGTCATTTAATTTTTCTATTTGTGTTCATATTGCACAAGTATTGTGAAAATTGCATGTTTAGTTGTTGAATTTATCTGCGCTTCTTTTGCTGTCGTTTGTTGCATTATTTTTTTTCTGTACTGTTCAAAGTAGCCTATATATAGGTCACTATGCACGGTAGATGACGTACAGAATGGCTCACTAGAAAGTGTCTGGCTTAGCCAAAGGGACAGATGATATTGTTCAAAACCTTTGAACTTGATAGTTGGGTAAAACTTAGACGAGGGTGGTCTGGGGATGGTAGGTATGTGGTGGGTGGTTAACTATCAGATGTGCTCACAGATGCATGAATGTGAGGAAGATGATAATCAGTATTACATAAAGGTGTGGTGATCGTCTAACCGGGAATTGGGTGAGTTCAGTCTTGGAGGATTTGAGCTTTACACACCTAAATGCCATGACACCTAGATGGGCATCTGGCGTGAGGTCTGCACATCTAAAAGGGCAAGGAAAATGGCCGGAGGTGAATGTGACCGATGAGTTAAGAGAAACGGCGAGCAGTGATGATGCCAAATGGAGGGATGTTTCAGGTCCAAAAACTGAAAACTGCGGGGCCACTGAGAGCAGACTGTGCTTCTTGTTAAATATAGCCAAGGGGGGGAGAGCTTCGGAGCCCCCTGGCGCCAGTGCTGAACACGGGGGACCGGAGAATTTGGCAAAATGTAATAATGCATTTTATTTCTTTATTAGTAATATACATTGACTAATCTAAACAAATGCAATTACAAATATAGGTATACGGCTGATAATCACTGTGAGATATTGAACTGTCATAATTAATCGAGCCTTTCACGTAGAGACACTTACTTTAGGATTAATTGTACGAATGTTCTGTCAGCACTGGGTTTTCAACAAGTCGAGAGGGATGTGGCGCTTTTTACGACTATAAGCAGGCCTATTAAATATTGGAATTATAAAAGTGTATTAAATGTGACCAAACTTGATTTGACAGATTACACAGATTACATAACTGATCGTTTACAGATCTGAGGCGTTGCGTCACTAGGGGAACGAAGACCACCCGTTCTATCTGCTCGTTATTAGTACAAACCCTTGCCTAACTCCGTCACAACAGGGACTCTTTTTTTATTTGCAATAAAGTTAATAATCAACGAAGTGTTCCTATTCCGTTTTCATGATATTCAGGTAAATCGCAAGTGAAGCACTTCAGTGGCAAATCATAAGCACGTAAACCGTGTTCAGAATTTGCTGCTTTTGGTGGTTGCAAGAGCATCGTACTGCAAGTCAAACATCAAATTTCCTGAAATCCGAGAAGTTTCTTCACCAAGTTACTTCAGATTATTTTTAGGAATGGAAGCTGATTATCTGATTTTTTTCTTATATGAATATTATACGCACATATTGTTTCTATGGGAAAGAGAAACATCTGGCATAACGGGTTGCTGATATGTAAATACTGAATGATTGACTATGGGAGAGTCTCCCATTTTGCAAAAGTCGTCACGATGAGTTTTTGAGTACATATGTATCTTACTATTCGTATATTACGTTGCTGTGACGCACTACAGAAATACCTCTGATCCCAAGTTCATACGGCAGTTTTTGTTAACCTCAGTCCGTTGGATCACCTTCTGCTTACTTTAAAATCAAACCGGCATGGATGATCACAGCACCTTGCCCAACTCGATAACCCAAAGGGGCTCTGAGCAACCAGCCCAGCCTACAGCGGGCTGCAGTCAAGTAGATGGAGTGGATGGAACAGCAGAAAACGAAAATCAGATGGAGGACACTTTCATGGACTTGGAAGACGAGATGTTCTTCAAAGACAGACGGAGAGCGAAGTCTCTGCCTGCTTATCCAGAACAAGCCACCCTCTTTAATGAAATTTCGCAAAGCTGCCGAAAGAAAGTTAAGTTTGCCGACGCGCTGGGACTCAGCCTGGCCAGCGTGAAGCACTTCAGCGCCGCTGAAGACCCACAGATCCCCTCCAAGGTCTTCTCCAGGCTGCAAAATTTCGTCCATCAACCTGACAAAGACCTGCGGGAGGTGTGCGAGAAACTGGGCTCCACCTTGACCATGGATCGCTTGGTGCCCACTTTCAAGATGCCGGTGGAGTGTAAGGATTTTGAGACCCGTGTGAAGCAGCGACAGGTATCGCTGGAAAAGGTGACAGTCACGATGTTTGACGTGAAGGGGCTAATCAAGGTGCCTGCTGGTGCTGGATACAAGAAGGAAGTCGGGGTGAGGTACACCTTCAACGACTGGCTGTCCTTTGTGGATGCACAGGCCATAGCAGTGCCGGTGGAGGACTCGGCTGGCACCTACGAGCGCTTCACCTTCACCATGTACACGCCCCCCTTTTTGGAGGCCGGCTCCTTGGTGCACTTTGCGGTTTATTCAAAGACTGATCAGGGTGAGTTCTGGGACAACAACGAAGGGCACAACTACACCTTGAAGTACCACTGCACCACCAGCAATGAAACGGCAGCATTCAATGCTACCTAAGGGAAAGACGTTCAAGAAATGTATATCCTTTGATGAAATAAAAGCAAGTGGCATGTGCGCTTGTGTTGGTCCTGAGTTACTCCTATCAAAAAGGCAAACAATTATCTGCCGCAAAGTGTGTTTTGCGACACTAATGCTTGCATATCGAAGCCTATTCATCAAGATAAATAAATGCTTTAACTATAATCCCGCAAGTGAGTTTGGGCTATTTTAATCACGCCTACAGTAGGTAAACGAGACGTTATTCTGTTACGGGGTTTAAAGCGCAGCTTGTTACCCTAGAACTGGCCAGATGTATTCTCACTACCAGTTTACTGGTACTAGTTTAATTTAAACTTAAAGGAAGATAAAGATTACAAAAACAATTTTTTCTTTCAATAAAAAAACAATGGATCTTGATCTTGCTTTACTACGTATGTAATATTGGGTCTTCGATATGCGTCTCAATCAACTGAATCGTTTTTCTGTCAACAATCCACGCTGCATCTTTACTATTATTCACAGCATATGCTAGTTCATACTGGTAGGTGGTATCCACGTTTTCCCCTTGCATGTAAACTTTTTCTACCTCGGTGCCGAAGTCCAAGAGATAGATTCTGTTTGCCATGTATACTGTAAATAAAAGTTTGACCTCCGGTGCAGGGATTTCATTCAGTGCATTTGGCAGTCAGATTGTCCACTGGGTTGTATGTGTAACTGGGTCTCTTATATACCCCATCCCCCAAATAACAAAACATTAAAAAAGCAGAAATCGCTGCTGGGCAAACATGCCTGTCAGGAGGTCTTTTGATGTATTTTAGTACCAATGAATACAAGCAGTTCACATTCTGTGTGATGTCACCCAGATACATCTGCTTGGTATTAAGGTTTAATCGACTTGAACAGTTTTTCAGGTATTCCAAAATTGCAGAAACAGAAAATGCACACACGGCTTCATGTGTTGCATATAACACTGATAACATCCCGTTTTCTCTTTTACTCAATGCTAAGCTTATGTACAGTTGGATTTCAAGGAGATAGATAGCACACTCTTGGGAAAAATTAAATATAATGTAATATACACGTGCCCTGTGCAGCTGGTGGTAAAGTCCAGTCCCCCAATCCTGAGCAGGGTGGAGGCTGGAAAATGAATGGAAGGATGGATGGGTTTGTACCTGACACTTTCAAACGAGTAAATCTACTATCGCTTACACAGTAAATGTGCAGCCTCAAGACTGTAACTAAGCGAGAATCTCTTAGAAGTCGATGATCAAAAGGAGCCATTTTTGTTCTCAAGTCCCCCCCCCCGCTACATGTTTCTGGTCTTCTCTGATTTTTACAGGCAACAGGCAACTTCAATCAAGTTTTTTGGAGATGGACATTTACTTTCATCATTATGGATTTAACTGTAAAACAGAGCTGCCTAGGATTTCTGCTGTAGATCTAGTGCAGGTGTATTCGAGTCACGGTCCTCAAGGTCTGAGCCCTGCTGATTTTCCAGCCTTCCTTTACCTGTGAGTCAGGTGTGAAGCCTCTGACCAATCAAAATCAGTAATTATTAAACTAGCTACCTATGAAAACTGAACACAAGGCCTGGATTTGGAATCGAGGGCCAGATTTGAAGAGCTCAGATCTAATGTAACTGATGCACCCCATTCAACTTCTGGTTGAATTCTTCATGCCTAATATTAATCTATTTAGCATAACACCAGACAACTTGTGTGTTCAGCATGCCTAAACCTGCTTAATCACAGATGCTGATACGTTTTGTCCGCGGTGACCCTTTCAGACAAGCTCTCGGCAAGTGTTGAGAAACATGACCCTTACATGCTCATTGGTCTGTCACGGTTCAATAAGTATTTTTAGATGCTTTGCATTGTGAAATACCTCCAACAGACACTCCACAGACAGAGAGTGGTAGCAAACCCACAACTGTAAAAAAGATAGAGGTGATACTGAACTGCATTACAATAAATGCATAATTTAAACCTTGAGAAATATATTATTAAACAGAATACATATGCATTCTTCTTAATCAAATGACCCATGATTTCTTTTTTTGTGATTTAAGTTTACACTATATGGACATAAGTACTGGGACACACCTCTTAATAACTGAATTGTATCATTCAGACCCATTGCCACAGGTGTATAAAATCAAGCTTCAAGCCATGCAGTCAGGCTAGCAAACATTTTTCAAAAGAATGGCTTGTTCTGAAGACCTCAGTGAAGTGTGGCAGTGTCATAGGATGTCACCTTTGCAATAACTCAGTTCATGAAATTTCTTCCCTGCTAGATATTCCACAGCCAAATGTAAGTAGTATTATTGCAAAGGGGAAGCATTTAGGAACAACAGAAATGCATCCATAAAGTGGCATGTTAATAACAGTGGGGTCACCGAGTGCTGACGTGTGTGTAAAAGTTGCCAAAGCTCTGTTGACTTGATAACTGCAGAATTCCAAGTTTCTTCTGGCAACAAAAACTGGACACCATGGAACGGGCTTCCATGGCTGAGCAGCTGCATGCAAGCTTTACATCAGCAAGCGCGGAGTGGATGGAGTGTAGAGCACACCGCCACTGGACTCTTGAGCAGTGGAAATGTGTTCTGTGGAGGGACAAATCACGCTTCTATGCCTGGCAGTCTGATGGACAAGTCTGGGTTTGGCAGCAGACAGAACGTTACCTGCTTGACTGCATTGAGCCAAGTGTAAAGTTTGGTGGAGGAAGGATAATGGTGTGAGGCTGTTTTTCAGGGGTTGGTTTAGGCCCCTTAGTTCCAGTGAAGGCAACTCTTAATGCTTCAGCATACCAAAACATTTTAGACAATTCTATGCTTTCAACTTTGTGGGAACAGTTTGAGGAATGACCTTTTGTGTTCCGGCATGTCTGGCATGTCCCATAGCACAAAGCAAGGTACAGTGATACCTCAGAACTCGAATTTAATCCGTTCAGAACTCCGGATAGAATCCTAAAAAGTTCGAGTTGTGATCTAATTTTCCCCATAAGAAATAATGGAAAACCAATTAATTAATTGGTTCCCGGCCACAAAAAAATTACACCTAAATATGTTTTTTTTTAGCATTTAAACACAAAATGAACCGGATAAAACAAGAAGAGCATATACTGTACTAAACAAATCTAAGCGCATTTATCAAAACAGTAATTTGTAAAGTAAGAAAATAAATGTATTCAAACGATGTGTCCTGGTCCGCTCTTTCCGTGTGCCACGCCCCCTCGTTAACCCCGTGTGGAATCCCCGTGTGATCAGCTGTTTCTGGTTGTTGTCATTAGTCCTCTGTATTTCGTCCGCGTTTCAGTTTGTTTCCCCAGTTCAGTCATTGTATTGTCCGTCTGCGTTTTGCCTGCCTTACCTGTAATTAAACCCCGTATTCCCCAATACCCTGACATCTGCGCCTTTGTCTCTGATCCGTCCCCGCTCGGCACAACAATATTATTATAATTAAATGTATTAACTATTTATTATTAATATTAAAATAATGAATAAGAAATCTTTATTTTAAAATGTATTTTATTATATAATAATAATTACTGTTATTGTCTATCATTGTCTAAATGTATTTTTACTGTCTAAATATATGTATTCAGTTAGTGTAAACATGCACGGTGCTATCACAGCTAATGCGAGGCTGAGACTGAAGCGTTACCCTTTGTTTCCGCTGAGAGACGTGCCGCGTGACTCATTTCCCTGCGCATACAAGATATCTTAGGTCGGCGTTCACGGTTTGACTACTGAGATTCAGATCGAGCTCTAGATTATTTTTTTTCGAACTGGTTGGTTCGACTTTTAAGAAATTCGAGTTCTAATGAGTTCGAGAACTGAGGTGCCACTGTACATAAAGACATTTATGGGTGAGTTTGGTGTGGAAGAACTTGACTGCCCTATGCAGAGCCCTGACCTCAACCCCATCGAACACCTTTGAAATCAGCTAGAACGGAGATTGCGAGCCAGGCTTTCACATCCAACATCAATGTCTGACCTCACAAATGCTTTTCTGGATGAATAGGCAAAAATTCCTCCAGACACACTCCATAAACTTGTGGAAAGCCTTCCCAGAAGAGTGGCAGCTGTTATAACTACAAAGAGGGGATCAACTCCATATTGTTGCCTATGGATTTAGAATGGGATGTGATAAAATTTCCTGTAGGTGTAATGGGCAGGTGTCCCAATTCTTTTGCAAATATAGTGTGTGTGACCAACATCAAACGAATTTGAAAAAAGTGTCTGAAGTAATCGTATGAAGTGCATTCACACAGTAATGGAAACACAATCTTTATTTTCAACCATTTCAAATGGCAAAATACATACAATGACAAAAAGATACTTTTCAAAAGTAAAGAAAAAAAATGTTATGACAGTGGGATGAAATCTGCACATACCATATACAGTAGGTGCTTACCCCACTACACGGCTGTGGCCTGGGTGGAAAATTACTGGTAATAACTTTAATTGCCACTGGAGGGCACCAACCCATTCCCTCTGCCAGTATCCTAGCGAGGACCACTACAAGTCAATGACACTTCCTGGAAGTGACCAGTCAACATCCTCTTCTGTCATTCTGTCTACATTCTCTCCCTTCATTCAGGAGGCTTTCTTCATCCCTTCGGTTTCCACCACGGTCTTCTGAGCACTGTACAGCTTGCCAATGGCTACCTGCCAGAGAAGACAAGGGATCCTTAATGCAGAAACTTCAATATCCTCTTACTTGAGCTAACATGAAGACTACATAATCCTGGAAAAATTCAAGCATATATCTACAATAGAACTGCAATCAGGCTTTGTTCTGGACATTTTTGTTGGCAGCTTCGGTTGAATAAATGTGTTCAGCAACAATCAACTGAAAAGTGCAAAAGGTACAGAATTATATGTAATTATTTCAGACCTTAAAATTTCACATCAGATTAGCATTCGTTAGGTTTCTGTTGCTGACATGCAGGGAAACTGTAATCGAGTCCAATGGCGGCTTGTAACCTATATCTGGCAGAGCTTGCTGTTGCATCAGATGAGGTCAAGCCCTGGATGAATATGTCTGATGTAATCAATAAGTCTACCAACTGGAGACTGATAAAGTTTACTCTCTGCCCTTTCACTGTGGATTAACACTGAAGAAGATTTATTTGCCATTTGTACTAGTGAGTACAGCTATATAGGAATTCTTTGGTTTTCCCATCTTGTTCTCCTAGGACACAGAAGCATAGGTGAGAGCAAAGTTGGGGTCAGAAGGCCATTTATCCGGCATCCCCCCCCCCCCAACCCCCGGAACAGTTTATGAGGTTAAGTGCCTTGCTCCAGTTCCCAGCAGTAACATGATTACTCTGGGGATTTGAAATAATGACCACAGGGACTCAGATACCGACTCTTAACCTTCACACTACCCCACTGGTGCTCACAAGTCAAAAAATAAACCTTAAAAATATAAAGGGATGGTTTGCTTTAATATTTTGAAAAGTAAAAAATGAATCCAACATAACTTTGAGCAAAACCATTAAATTAGGCAAAGATATTGATTTACAGCAGTAAATCACTGACAATTTTTATCGTGTCTTACATATATTTCTCAAACCGAGCACAAGAACTCCTATCAAAATATATGTATAAAAGGTTCCCACAGCAAAAATACGCCCAATGCACATTCTCTGATGTCACATATGGCAAACTGCAAAAAAATTGCAAAATAATTGCAACAGATGCTTAAGCACACAGTACTGTATGCCAAAGCGCGGTGTCATGTCTGTTTCTTGCATTACTATTGCAATCTAAAATATTATTTAGCCTATAATATTTAAGGCAGAAATTAGCTACTAGTTACTGTCAGCTTGAATGAAATGTGTGACTAAAATATACTGTCCAGACGTGGTCAAATCATCATGAGAATCTGAATCTGAAAACCAGAGTTCACATGCTCCTCCATGGAGGTAGGTCGAGACTGTGGGCCCAGGGCAATACATGATTAAATAACCTCTCCAATGATAAAAAATAATGAATGACAAAATGGGAAGAATCTAATCTAATTCCAGCATTGTGAAAAGTGCTCACCTCACTGGTTTTGTTAACATTTGCTTCTTAGTTTGACATTTCACGCTTCTCTTTGTCACATTCTTATTAAATCTTTTCTTACACCTGTATTTCTGTACCTTCAGCTATATCACCATAGTAACGTACGTTTTCCTTTGATAAACAGGATTAAGAGCCAATTGGTTTTTAAAGACACTCTGTGGGTGAATTCACAGAAGAGAGCCCCCTGCTGTTTGGGGGAGTTCGGTGCTCATCTCGCTTAGTGGGTAGACGACACCAGGGGGCGTACTGACCAAGTCCAGGCTTGTTTGTTGTCTCATAATGTGTGCTGATCACAAAAAGCAGAAGAACACTGTTCATTTACACAGACTTTATATCACTTGTACCCCAGCCTTGTACCCTGTGCTGCGTGGGATAGGTTCCCAGCCCCCATATGACCCTACCCAAAATAAGCAGTTGGATGGATAGATGGATTTTCCACTAACATATATGTGTGACTGGAATTGGTGCAGTTAGAGGGAAATAGTGTCCTGCAGCCATGCTGGCAACGAATGATTGCTAGTAGACTAGACTGCTAGCAGAGTGTATTGTGTACGGTGTGTTTTATTGTTTGGGGGAGGATGATTATCCCAGGTTAAAGAGCATTTCCCAGCTGTGTGAGAAACGACGGCAGTAACAACAGGGTGGCGGGGAAGGTGTAGTCAATATGTCCAAGAGGAAGCAAAAAGCAACTCGCTTACGGGTTGGTATGGTTTTTACAGCCTGAAAAGCCCATCCATCCATCCATCCATCCATCCGATCATATCCTAATGCATGCACAAAGATGGGGTACACTTCAAATGTGATAGAGCCCAAACAGTGACATACTAACTAAATTACAGACAAACATTAAGTCAACTCACTTTATTGTCATTTCACACACATGAGACGAAATTGAGATTTTTCAGTTTCTTCACAGAATCACAGTGTAGGTACAACCAAGAACTATGCAAACTCATATCTTATTTCCATATTTATACGAGGCCTCTGCAGCACAAGCTTATATCATTTACCTAAAATTACACACACACAAAAAAAAAACCTCTGAATCACAAACGGAGCAGATCTCCCAAAATCAAGCAGATGGACAGCCAGAATCTCCCAGCCCAGGCAGGATGTTCAGAAATGGGGCCACAGAGTCTGATTCACATTTTATTCTCAGAATAAGTTCCTCTATCCCCTTGGTTGCCTTTGAGATCTTCCTATCACTGTCCACGGTCACTAGAACCTTCTTCGCCTGCCTGGATACCTGCCGCTGCCACTCGCTAATTTTGGAAAACAATCACAGCAGCCGCACATGAGTCATTTTCTCCCATGGTGGGATATTCTGTGGCCAGTGGGCTGAGTTTTCCCACATCCGGCCCTCCGGACACCTCTGTACTTAGCAGCAAGCCTGTATATGTGCTGGTGGTTCTGGAGTGGGCTGGGTACTCGTGGTACGCTGTTCAACTCACTCACACAAGGGCTCTTTCATGCTCTCATGCTGACTGCAACCTCTCATCAATTTCCTGCAGCTTCCTGGATGCTCCACTGGGTCAAAATCCAGGTAGCAGGACCCCTTTATAGCATGGCTGGACCAAACCCAGGAAACTGCGAGCCCAAACTCGGAAGTGTCCGCAGTAGGGCCTGGAACAGGGACTGGCGGCATTGCTTTCAAACAGGGAGGTCATTCGAACTTCAGCTTCCGACGTGTATTGAGAGTTTGGCACTATTAAGGCCCAAAACAAAGAATGCCTTTCAGGCACAAGGACAGATAGTACAAGTACAGGTTTAAACCCCCCCCCCCCATATCGGTAACATCTACTGTGGGGGGCCTATTGGTAGCGTTGCGGGACAACCCATGAATTTTTTTTCTGGCTATGGGCCTCATGCCATTTTCCTGGAGATCCGGTAAGACGAGCGAATCAAAGCTGGCCACATCTCGGAGAGCTGCTCTTCATTGCAATACACAGACAGCATGCATCAGTCTGATTATGGACGGGCTGAGGACACCCTGGGATGCTAGAGGTGGTCTGTGGGTCAGTGGTTTAAGTCACTGTGCTTTTGATTGGAAGGCTGCTGGTTCAAATCCTGTCCTTGGCACGTGTCTCCTGGCTCCTTAGCCAGCCAGCCTCTGCCCCTGAAATGGGTGCTGGCTACACAGCCTGACCCTGTGCTCAGGCCTGCATATGTGCGTGTGTCTCAAAGCAGAGCATGATGGGATATGTGAATAGAAGCAATGCAACGGACTATGCAAATAAAGGATTACTTTATTAAAAAAAAAAACACTAAGGAAATACATTCAAGACTCCAGGGGCCCTTGAAATAGACTAAGCATGTGACCCTTCATCCTCCACTACGTTCCCCAGATGACAGTCGTCACAAAAGCAGTAGTGACAGGCACACATCTGTGTCCCCCAGAAAGGTCTCTATTCACCCTCCCAACTGGTGGAGGAGACAGATGCTTCGGCGCCTCAGACTGGGAAACAGCTGCCCAGACGAGAGAAGGACATCACCTCAGGAAGGGAGTCCATTCCAGAGTGGCCGATTCCCATGGTGCACTGCTGCAACCTAAATGCTCTGGCTCATGGCGTGGTGTCAGGTGGCATTGAATTAGTAGAGCTGGTCTGCCTATTTTCGTTTTTTTCCCTACCCTGCTCATACTTACACTGCAATACACTACGAATCCCAGCAGGGTTCACTTGGTGAAGATTTTTTTTTCGGTAATACATTCTTAACTTTGTAGGATTTTTTTTTTTCTTGTGATGGACTGACATCTGCTCTAGGGCTCTAGGGTGTAGCCCTATGTTGAGCCCAATGCATTCTGGGATTGGCTCCAGGTGCTTTCTGCAACCATGACCAGGATAAGCAGTTAGAAGATTGATGATTTTTTCTTTTTCTTTTTTTTGTCGTCTTAATGTCTCTGTATAGAAAATGCACACTATAATTGACCTTACTGCTTCAGATCATTCTTTTTAAGAGACTTATTTTAGCAAAGTTGAACAGTTTAAAGACAGTGCTGTAAATATCTAAGGTCTTTTTGTACTTCAACGATTACAGAAATTAATTACAAACAAAGATGTGGTAATAACTTCTTGTCTGTGTTTGAACATCTCATCAATTGAATTGTTTTATACTATTAGGTAACAACCAGTAATGACTGATTTGAAAACACTCAAGTGGAAAATTAAGAGTCTAACAAATTCTGTTTAGAAAAAGTAATGTTAACAGATTATCGTGAAACAAAAAAAAACTGCCTTATAACTAATACGCATCGAGGAAAAACAAACAGCAGCCGCGGTAACTCATGTGTTTTCCCGCAGTCTCAGCAGGGGGCAGTGTAACGCCACAAACGGAACACATGCCGGTTCAATCGCTGTCACTCGTATCTACGCACCTTAAGTCCATGATACTGCATCGCTAACATTTTATGCATTTATTTTATATATGATGTCACTGGAGAAGCGGAGCGCGGGACTCAAGCGTGTATCTCCTTTTAATCGCTGCGGCAGGAGCAGAAAACTGGGCGCGGCGCTATATTCCTGGCCCCTGCCACCCCCGCATGCGCAACAGTACTACCAAACAAACAGTAAAATGAATGGTGCTTCCCGCTTCTGGAT